TCTTGTTAGTGGTCTAGTGCTTTTATTGTAAAATATACAAGAAAAGGGGTCTGCCAGATAAGCCTGTATAACAATCTTGTTTGGTATAACAGTCAATGTTTTCAGTCAAATTATTTGCTTTAATAACAGCAGGGTCACTGATAACACTGAAAATATATAGCAAGCTACTTGGCATTTTTTTTCCTGTCATTGTTACTGTGGAAACCAGTGGAAACTAAACAAAAATGGTTATGCTTCACCTCAGGAAGAAACATAAATAAACCAAAAACACAAACAAACAAAAAAAAGAAGATAAAACAGTTTTGTAAAAAGACAAGAAAAAATGAGAAAAAAAACATGTGCATAACATATGCAAGTCACATGTAAAGACAGTTTTAATAATAATAATAACAATTTATGTAGTCCTGTGAAAAACTGAGTACATCCTTACTGCTTCCACTGGAATTAAGAGAGTAAGTAGCAGTGAGGTGCTGGTAATCAAATGTATTTGATTAACTGATCAGCTAATTAAGTATGATCACCTCTATAAAAACAGAAGATCTGAAGCATCTTTTGCAAATTATGCCACAGTTTTTACATGGATGACTCTACAATCCCCTTACCTCAGATTGAAACTGAAAAAATCTAAGAGCTACCCCTCAGGCTCTACAGGCCTCAGTTAGCACGCTAAATGCTCAACACAGTTCAGGAAGAAGACTGTGGCTTGATTGGAGGGGTTTCTGGGACAGTGCCTCTTCTCACTAAGAAGGACATGGCAACATGGTTTAGGTTTGCAAAGTTGCATCTGAAAGAACCACGAGACATCTGGAGAAATATCCTTTGGACAAATTAGAGCAAAGTACAGATGTTTTGTTATAATGCATAGCTCCAAGTTTGCAAAAATCAAACTCGGTATATCAGCACAAACACCCCCAGTGGTGGAAAGGTGATGATTTGGGGTTATTCCTGCTGCCACAGGACTTGGGCACCCTGAGCTGACGTCCTCTGTAGACCAAAGTGTTTTAGACTCAGATGTGAGGCTGTCTGTCTGAGAGCTAAAGCCTGGCACAGCCAGGAAAATGATCCTAAGCATAGCAGCAAATCTAAATCAGAATGGCTGAAAAAGAAAAGAATCAAGGTGCTACAATGACCCAGTCAAAGAGACCTTTAAGGCCTTAAGACAACTGTGCATAAACAAATGCCTGCAAATGTGAATGAACTGAAGCAACATTGTACAGAAGACTGGGCAAAAATTGCTACATAATGATACGAGAGACAGAAAAAGCCAAACACACCAGTTCAAGTTGCTGTTGCTTAAGGTGGTTCCTCAGACTACTGAATCATGCTGTCTGCTTAGCTTTTCCCAGGACCCATAGAGTCTTATGAAACAGACTGTAGATGTTGAAAATAGTGTGATTATTTCAGGCATCCATTGTGTTGTAATTCCTGATTTGTACAGAACAGCATGGTGACGCTCCTTCAGCTGCTTCACTTTTCTTCCGCGGCCCAAAGAAATGCTTGTTTCGGTTATTTGGTGATTCTAGTAAGACAGCGTATGGTTGTTTGTCTCCCAGACTGGATAGAGTGTTAAGAAAGTGGATGAATGCACCTATTTCATAGCAGCCGTTTTGAAACAAAATAATAGGAAACCAATGATGTTAGTTTATACATGGTAATTGAATTCAAAATGAAACCAAAATCCAGTTTAAGCTTAAAAGCATACAAACATACAAAAAAGGTTTAACTCACTGCACACTTTAAGGTTTTTTTTTGGTGTGAAACTTGACTCACAAGTGAGTCATTTAAATAATATTCGAAATAACAAATTTTAAACTGGTTAAAGCTATTTTAATCTTAAAATATTTGCATTGGTTAGTCACAGATTTATTCTTTTGTTCCTTTTTTATTTTCCAAAGAAGGAGATGCCGTTATACCACTTACAGGTTCTGAAAGTAAAACAGTACAGTCACAGCAGTGGGCTGTGGAGGAAATGAGTTTCAGTATGTAACACCCACAGTCCCCATACATCACTGCCAAATAATCTCAAAAGAATCCAAGCTAGTATGAGGGTATCACTTCATACTATTGTGATATTCAGCAAAATCAATTAAAAGAAGCAGCGAAAAGACAGCAGATAAAAGTTTTTAATTTATTTAACCCAGTGCTGATCCACATTAGCTTAAGATTTATCTCGCAGCACAAGTGCAGGACAGTATTTAACAGATTTATTGATACAAAAAAGGCAAAATAAGCAACACAATCAGCTTGTTAGTTTCTTATCATCAAAGACATTTATTAATATTTAAACCTTCAAACTGTGTTTATATACACAGATAACAGACTTCACTGTAGCATTATACTCTGAGTTTCTAAAATAAACCAATAACTGCCCATGTAGGCCAATAAACATAGCACTGGTGCTCCCTACAGTTTAACTCTGTAAATTATAATACTGTACAGCAATGGCAGCAAATGCAAACACACACATAGACATAGATGCACTCTGTGTTTCTTTTGAACTCAGATTACTCACTCAGACACATAGAAAGACACAAGAACGCCTTCTATCTCTCAGACAGTTATGCCAACAGTAATTCTCAGGATTCATGTGCACAGAAATCGTTTGGGTGGTGTTAACCACCGAGCACACAAAGGTTACAGGTCGACCACCCGTCTCTGTCCTGCAGGCAGCAGCTAAAAATAACAAACTTTTCATTCTTTTCCACCACAAACCATCCTTCAGGGTGACTCACACGGGCCGGTTTACTAAACGTCTGATTTTTTTTACTTTCCCGTAACTTGCAAGTTCACAATTGGTGCCGTTTTAGCCATCGTTCTTCTCTACATCACAACCACAAATGGAGGGATGTCAGGTGAAGTGACAGCTTCACGGTGGTGATATTGGTGTCCCACAGCAATCAGGCAAAGAGCAAGTGATGTGGCTTGAAATGTTCAGCCACCTTAAAAGGTTCTGAAACAAAGTATTTTCACAATCACAAAGTCCAAACGGTTTTGGTGGTTTCGGTTTTTCTGTGTCACGTTTGTTTGTGCCTCTGGTCTTCCAATTCTAAAGAGATTTTCAGTTAATATCTGATGACACCTACATATATGTGACATCAACATTTTTTCCAGTTTAGTGATCTATGATCTATGTTTTATAAGGGTTTAATATGATATATATATATATAT